TTTCACAGGATATTTTACATGGCACCGAAATGAGAGATATTCCACGGTATGACAAAGGCTCATCCCTATAAAGATCTGTATCACTCTTGACAATCGGGTTGATAATCGACTGAGTCCAGCTTGTGGGCGCTGTTCCTGTATCGAAACAGATGGTAAAAAGTTTAAACAAAATGTCAATACTGCTGTCATGTTTCAATGCTTCAGCTGTTAAATCATCAATACCTGTTGCTTTCCCATTCGTAGCACGGTGTACCGCTCTCGTGACCTCATCCCGGGTAGGGCCGTTAAGCGTAACGTTCTCGTGCTGCTGCTCCCCGTTACCGTTACTCAGCCATTCAAGTTCGTGCATAACGTGGGTCATGTGATCTTCGTCATACCGTTGGTCGTTGTTTCCCGAGTACAGGAGACAGAACGACAGTACTCGTCTGTGTCGCGACACTGAACACACCAGAGATGACAGTTGATTGTTGTTCCAAACATCAACCAAATATTGGCTCAACTGCAGCTAGCGTTATCTCTAGTCGTATACAATCTCTGGTCGTCGATCCATCTCACCTCAGACATGTTCTGGAGAACAGCCACCCGAGGCAGTACAGCAATGTTATACAAGCTCAACAACTGTATTACAACACGCGAGTATTACTACACAGTGATATTACGTCACTGCAGTCGCACGAAGAGCAGAGCATCACCTCGACCGATGTCGTCCCTAAAGTGTGCGCCTCCAACCTGACATTAACAATGATGACACCTGTTCCGCCATGGGTTGTGGTGCTACCCTGTGCCATCTACCCTGTGCCATCTACCCCGACGATCTGTCGTCAAACCGTTCTCCTGGATTCCTGGAGATCCTCGTACAACCTCTAGAACTGCCCAGCTGAACCCTGGACTCATCTGTGAACAGTATCCTGTCCCAGACTTGCATACTGAACCTCACACGCTGTCTATACAGGACGGTGGCTAGACTAACATCTGGTATCTGAAATGAACATATTTTGCCGGAAAATCTGCTCCTAAATTATTAGCATAAAATATAATGAAAAGGCGCCAAGAGACTTTCTTCATTTTCAAACTGTGGTAACCTAGACTTGTCACATACTAGTATTCTAGACTTGCATGGGCTTTCTTGGATGTGTTTGTTTCAGGGACAGACTAGACGGTGTCTTGAGAGCAATATTGGGCATATTGCTGGCTGTCGTGGTAACCTGGCAGTTTAGTAGCGATGCCATGTATGCACCAACCGAATATGGTTATCTTTTTTAATTAAAACAAAGTTCCATGGATATTCTCAACTATTTGAGACCTCAAATACAGCGAGACCCCGGATATCCGGACACATTCGTTTTTACGTAAATCGTCTGGATAACTGAATATCCGGATATCTGGATTTCTGTCATCTAGGCTTACCGTATATTATTGTCTATAAGCCGAATTTTGAGGATAAAAAAGCAGTGTGTAGGAGGGGGTCGGCTTATCTTCATGAGTTACGCTTTCGTCAAACTTTTTTCCAGGGGTAAGAAAACAACATCATATCACTTCGCGGGAACAAACAACAGAAGACGACTTTGTCAGTAAAGACGTCAAATTTGCAATTTGTAGTAGTCTTTTGTCTAGATTAGTCAGATAATGTACGAAAAGTCTTGATTAGTTCTACATACTTGCAGCCTTTGAAATGCACTCCCCTTCTCCATCACGTGACTAGAAACCACTCGGAATACCTGGTACAATCCATTTGCGACAAAACACACCTGATGGATCGTAAAAAAAGTGAACAACGCATGTACGAGAAGGGGCTTTAATCAAATAAACTGTTTTGATTATAACAGTCCACGGGTGCCCCTTGTCACAAACAATTCCAGAAAATATAACAAAATCAGGTTTCAGGCTTTTAATTAATTCAAGAATTACAACAGAACCGAGGTGCGGGTGCCGTCTTTAAAGACTATATTTATTTCACTCCTGGAATCTCTTCTCTAGAATTGGTTCATCTGTGCCGACAGATGCCGTTGACGAGCTCGTTGTTGCTGTCGCAGTTCTTTTCCTTTGAACGATGCCATCTACTTTCCTGGCCATTTCTTTAGACGTTCGCTGAAAGAAACAGTATAGTGTTGTAGAATATTCTCAGATAATTAATTGTGTGGAGGTATATTATATCACTTATGCCATTTAATCAGAAACAGACATCATATGTGAGCTTCAAACAATGTTATTAAAACACGATGGAGTTATTATTCATTTAACTGTAAATTTTGGTACCAGTATTAAGGTTTCCAACTAATTGTGGCACAAGAAAAGCAGAAATTTGTCTACAAGTCTATATTGTCCTACTTTAGAACTGATAACTCTTACAATATCTCTTAACTAAAATCATTAAATATGAATGTTTACGAAATCTATAGAAATGTAAAAAATTCTGTTCCAAAAGCTTCAATGTTAATTACATACAGCATTTACGTTCATCCCTGATTTGTCGGGTATTAACGAATTATTGTTAAAAACAATACCTTGTAACTAGGGACTGCTGATGAACTGTTGATGAATACAAGAGTCGCAGTTGTCGCCCTCAGAGAGTGGTTTGAGGAAAACCCTGACAATCCGGCTGCCTTGCAGAGTCGACTGACCGTCTGGGTGTCAGTGGGTGTACACCGATGGCGACGTCAGCAAACCATGCATCAGCTACCTGGTAGCGGAGAGGTCTCAAGTACAGGCTGGAACACGAACCCTTGTGTAGCCTTAAATAAAACATGTGTATAATAAACGAAAGAGTCCAAAATAGACAGAATTCGAAGTAATTTCAGGAAATTATTATAATAATCAGTTTCTATATGCAACATTATACAAATCAAATGTAACGTGTATTTTAGATTACATATATCCTTAAAATCTTTAAATTAACAGTATTGTTTTGTTATACACATGTGAAATATAACATTATCATTTACTGAACCAAAACTCCTCTGTAACATATTACAGTTCATTACATGATGGGTCTTACCACGTTAAATGAACTGCTAGACTTACCGAAGGGATATATGCTTCTTGAACAGTCGCACTAGACATCGTTCTGGGCGAAGTTTGTTTTCCCCGACAGTAACAGTTTTTCGGTCGCATTTTCTATGCTTTAGTCCCGCTTTATTTGTCTTGGCCATGTCTTCGGTATAGTGTAATTCTTTTGCTGTCGACGTTGCTTATCAGTTGGGTCTGCATATTCTCCCCGACTCAGGCCGGTCTGTGCTCGTCCCCCGCACGTTATAAACAAACTTTCTTCGGGATCCACCTTCTTTCGTAAACAGCCAACAAGTACAACTCTCAACTCCAAGTAAACCATGTACCGAACGCTTCATCATTTTCATATGACAAACCCGTAGATTAGTTGAGGTCGTGCAGCTTGAATGTTGCGCTACGTACTTTCCAAGTAAAGTGCGACGAAAACGCTTGAATGTAGATTTTGACACGTGAGACTTTCCAAGTTGGAGTAAGTCAGAAGCACGACGAGAACACTAATATACGAGTGTAGATTGGTTGATTACGTTTGCTCTGACTTTGTTTTAAGTTGGAGAAAGTCAGACTTTCTCCTCGTTAATCGAAAATCCACGGTAAATCGAACATGGTTTGTGGACCATGAAAGAATAATCATGATCAGGTAGAAACAGTCTATCCTCCTACGTATTCAACATCAGTTATTATAAATTCTGTCGGGCACATCTTTTTGTAATGAAACCTGTACTATACGTTTTAACTGCATAACATTTAGATATAGAAACATGATAGTTAGTCTCGACAAGGTATACATCGATATAAGATTTAAGACATATCCTTATACGATGTAACGATAAACGGAATGCAGTCAAGACATTCTTTACTACAGAAAGCAGAGATCAGTATGGATAAACAGCACAAACACATTAAAACATCATTTTGCCTGACGACACCTCGTATTTCGGTTTTTAAAATGTCTGAGTATTGAAAATTCAAGGAAACGACAGCGATATTAATTCACGTATAAAGAAGAACCTAAAATGCATTGTATTGAGCGCCATCCTTCATTTACTGCAATATATCACGAGTTTTGGTGTATTTGTTAAAAGGTCAGGTAATGAAGAGAAGCACAGGAGCACTGCGGTAGTAATACACTTTGAGGGAACTTTCGAATGAATCATTTAGATAATCGATATTGATTTTTTGTTTCAATATGAGTGTTTCATTTTGAAAAGAATGGAAGTTTGACCCCCAACTAGCCCAGTAGCAGGAAGGAGGAATCATTAAGGTTCAGCGAGAGTTACTGAAAATAAGTTCTCCTTTATCTCTCATTATTTTGTTGTTGTTTCACTGAATATAATGATACATGGTCTCTTGTAAGTAAACAGCTTTCTTTTATTACAGGATTAATGCATGCTTCCTGGTTGGACAATCTGTAACCAACTCCTTATGAATGATTCACGTCCTCTTAGTACCATTGGCTACCTTCCCGTGATAGATGCAACTGCCATATTGGAGAAGAGTTTAGATATTGCAAATTCATTAAACCTTTGTGCCATAGTCCTTGACATGGATCAAGCAATATATTCTAGAGCCCAGGAAATACGTTGGAATGGTCGTCCGGAGTTTAGGGAACAACCAGTAATTCGTTTAGGCGATTTCATACTGCCCTGGCTTTTCTGAGTGCTATTGGCAAACGTTTTGGAGATGCGGGATTGCGAGATATTGTCACTGAGTCCAATCTAGTCGCTGAGGGGTCCATTAATGGTGTCATTAGGGGACATCATTACAACAGAAGTCTGAGATGCCATAAAATACTCTCTGAAGCTATGCATCGCTGACGGATACAGGAATACCTGGATCAACTCTCACCAGAAAGGAACCAAGAAGCCATTATTGTTATCCACAGTATCCGTGACAGTTTTCCAACCACATTCATGAGCTGCCTTTAAAGCGATTCTGTGATACGCTTCCTTCAAGACTATGACGATTATGTGAAGATCAGATGTGGATGCAACGACATGTATGCCTTCTGGACATCTTACCTTGAGATGGCTGAGCTGCTGCTGCTCGGTTTAAGAGGTGCAAGAGAAGGAAACTGGGAGCTACTGTCAACCATCCGTGACATGATGCCTTGGTTTATAGCTTATGACAGAATCAACTACTCAAGATATCCTCCTATCTATTATCTTGAGATGAGAGATCTCCCATTCACTCATCTCTTTACTCACTCGTTTGATTAAACTGATGTCTTATTGGCCTGCAATCTCAGTTCAAGGGAAATACTTGACCATGACCCTGATAAAACTGATGTCTTATTGGCCTGCAATCTCAGTTCAAGGGAAATACTTGATCACGACCCTGATAAAACTGATGTCTTATTGGCCTGCAATCTCAGTTCAAGGGAAATACTTGATCACGACCCTGATAAAACTGATGTCTTAATGGCCTGCAATCTCAGTTCAAGGGAAATACTTGACCATGACCCTGATAAAACTGATGTCTTAATGGCCTGCAATCTCAGTTCAAGGGAAATACTTGAACACGACCCTGATAAAACTGATGTGTTATTTGCCTGCAATCTCAGTTCAAGGGAAATACTTGATCACGACCCTGATAAAACTGATGTGTTATTTGCCTGCAATCTCAGTTCAAGGGAAATACTTGACCATGACCCTGATAAAACTGATGTCTTATTGGCCTGCAATCTCAGTTCAAGGGAAATACTTGACCATGACCCTGATAAAACTGATGTCTTATTGGCCTGCAATCTCAGTTCAAGGGAAATACTTGATCACGACCCTGATAAAACTGGTGTTTTGTGTACCAGCAATCTCAGTTCAAGGAAAATACTTGATCACGACCCCGATACAACTGGTGTTTTGTGTACCAGCAACCTCAGTTCAAGGGAAATACTTGATCATGACCCTGATTAAACTGGTGTTTTGTGTACCAGCAATCTCAGTTCAAGGGAAATACTTGATCATGACCCTGATAAAACTGGTGTTTTGTGTACCAGCAATCTCAGTTCAAGGGAAATACTTGATCATGACCCTGATAAAACTGGTGTTTTGTGTACCAGCAATCTCAGTTCAAGGGAAATACTTGATCATGACCCTGATAAAACTGGTGTTTTGTGTACCAGCAATCTCAGTTCAAGGGAAATACTTGACCATGACCCTGATAAAACTGGTGTTTTTGTGTACCAGCAATCTCAGTTCAAGGGAAATACTTGACCATGACCCTGATAAAAACTGGTGTTTTGTGTACCAGCGATCTCAGTTCAAGGGAAATACTTGATCATGACCCTGATAAAACTGGTGTTTTGTGTACCAGCAATCCCAGTTCAAGGAAATACTTGATCATGACCCTGATAAAACTGGTGTTCTGTGTACCAGCAATCTCAGTTCAAGGGAAATACTTGATCATGACCCTGATAAAAACTGGTGTTTTGTGTACCAGCAATCTCAGTTCAAGGGAAATACTTGATCATGACCCTGATAAAACTGTATACCAATAATAAAAAAAATCATAGCCCAACAAAATTACACACATCAACATATTCAAGCAGAGTTTTTCTTCCCGTCGATCAGTACGTTGTCCTTCTCTTGCTGCAATTTGTCCTCCAAGTATCTACACTTTCTTCTCTTGGGTGGCAATCTTCCTCCTGAACTGATTTGAAGTAGAATAATTTCTGTGTGGTTCTGTTCCTTCTTCAACAATTCCACAGATTTGAATATGTTGGGGTGATTGGGGCCTAACTTGTTGAGCTTTGGGACTAACCCATGGCCGATAGGTACTTCTTTCTCACCACACGCAAGAAAAACACACTAGAAATATTGGAATAATTTTAGGAATACAACAGAAATTGTAATATTTTAAGGTAACTTCATTTCAAGAAAACGAAAACTGCCCAGGGCTATGTGACAGTTTCAAGACTGTATTAGCGCCTTTGTATACCGACTGGAGACAACACTGTGTTCAGAGCGTGCATGTTCAGACTCGAGCTCATTTTGATCGATAAAACCTCGGTTATATATTAACGTGAGAGATCGTTGAAAAATATTCTGGAAATGGAGTTCTACTGTTATCTTGAATGAATGTGTCATTAACCTGTGAATATCCAGGGTATCACCGCTCCGATTTCCGACCAATGTCAACATTGTTCTAAAGCTAGTTTTAGGAAGACGTGGAGACCGGGAGTAGCGGCTTCCTGTTTACAGTGACAACGAACGGTTGACGAGTGCCGATGACTTCCGACTAGAACATTACATTTACCAAATGACATAGAATTGAGATTATTATCATGTCTAAGAGTTTCAAAGGCAAACTTAAAGACCCCCGGACATGTCGTATCTTTTTCTCCTCACCTTTTGGGGGGATGGAAGAGGAGCGAGACGAACTGACACGGAAATACTTCCCCCAGCTTCAACACCTGTGCAGCTCCCGAGGGGTGCAGTTTGTGCCGGTCGACATGCGCTGGGGGATCACGTCAGAAGCTGCCGACAACGCCCAGACCGTCAACATATGTCTGAAAGAGGTTGACAGATGTGACGTATTCGTCGGATTCTACGGACAGGTGCGCTAACGCCAGTTTAACATGGTCATCGCGGTCAGCTGATTACCGTATACAGTATAATGTAACAAGCTGTTCTTTTTTTTGGCTAACTTCCAAATCTTGTCATTTAGAAATAACGGTATGTGGCCTTTGTTGCGATGTGTAGAAATTGACGTCACCAATTATTTCTATTTTGTTACCAGGTTCCTGCAACATCTTGTCACAACATCAACATTAGATCTAAACACATATATTTTACAAAAGAATATATAGCAGCAGTCCGTTGTATTCAATCAAAACTCTACACCAGCCCAAGAAATCTGAAAACATTTATAAGATGACTAAAATCAAGTGTGGTATTTGGCATTTGTTATACTGTTTTAACCAAGTACTGGATTTATAAAGTTACTATAATTATATACACCTTTTTACTTATATACTTTGACCTAAAAGGAAGTGTCAGGTACACAGTACATTAATAACTTTATGATGTCAATGTAGCCGGGTGTGGTGTGTAATGTCCAGCCACTGGGCTGCTAGTCATAACAAGAGCAGTTCTCGATGAAAGATGAAGTTTATTTGGGTTCAAAGTTGGGAGGAAGGCTGAAAACAGAGAACCTCCCTCCTATAAGAGTTCATGCAGAATGTATAATTTAAGCCAAATAGTTTAAATGGATGAAGCACATGGTTGAAGACCTTGTGCTCAGTCAGAGTTACAAAATATGCAGTACCTGGTAAATATTTAGATAAATGTATGAAATAATATTGTAATTAAATATGTTTTACAATTATGAAGTTGTGAGATACCCTTTAATGAATAGTATTTGTTTACAGAACAAAGTACAGAAAGATAAGAATATTGAAATCTTTCTCACCTGAAAACAGAGAACCTCCCTTCTATAAGAGTTCATGCAGAATGCATGAGGAGGGCAGGTGAGAAAGGAAGTTCAGAGAGGGGGGCCAAAAGGCCAATCAGAATACAGGTAGCATCTGACAGGTGTCAAAGGAAGTCAGATGCTGGACAGTTACATTAGGTGGTGGAAGTGTCTAAAAATAGAGAAGGGGAAGTCCAGGTGAAGCTGGAGAACTCAGAGGCTGCTAAGGGTATTGAAGACTGAAGATGTTAGTGGGCTGACATTCAACTGCAGACAAGGACAACATATAAGACAAATAGCATGAAATGATGATGATGATGATGAAGAAGTGGATGACAATGTGTATATATAAATGACAATACTGTGGGGGGTTATGAGAGGGTGGTACTTAAGTGGTAATAACTCAGTCAGAGGTATAACCACCACCCTGCTACATCAACGAAACAATATGAATGTACAATGCCTGGTGATGTAGAAAGTGGTCAAATGTAACAGATGTTATATTTTGGATTACACTTTCTCAGTCCCGGATGGGACTCAACCCAACAAAAGTACTAGAATCTGTACTTTAATAAGAAAGTGTAATCCCAAATCTAACATATGCAACAAAATTATGATTGATATCACATTTTGATTTGCTGACATAGTCGTCCGTATCTCAGACTCAGTTGTCTGTATCTCAGACTCAGTTGTCCTTATCTCAGACTCAGTCGTCTGTATCTCAGACTCAGTTGTCCGTATCTCAGACTCAGTTGTCCGTATCTCAGACTCAGTTGTCCGTATCTCAGACACAGTTGTCCTTATCTCAGACTCAGTTGTCCGTATCTCAGACTCAGTCGTCTGTATCTCAGACTCAGTTGTCCGTATCTCAGACTCAGTTGTCCGTATCTCAGACACAGTCGTCCGTATCTCAGACACAGTTGTCCTTATCTCAGACACAGTCGTCTGTATCTCAGACTCAGTTGTCTGTATCTCAGACTCAGTTGTCCTTATCTCAGACTCAGTCGTCTGTATCTCAGACTCAGTTGTCCGTATCTCAGACACAGTTGTCCGTATCTCAGACTCAGTTGTCCGTATCTCAGACTCAGTTGTCCGTATCTCAGACACAGTTGTCCTTATCTCAGACTCAGTTGTCCGTATCTCAGACTCAGTTGTCTGTATCTCAGACTCAGTTGTCCGTATCTCAGACATAGTTGTCCGTATCTCAGACATAGTTGTCCGTATCTCAGACACAGTCGTCCGTATCTCAGACACAGTCGTCCGTATCTCAGACACAGTCGTCCGTATCTCAGACATAGTCGTCCGTATCTCAGACATAGTCGTCCGTATCTCAGACACAGCTGTCCTTATCACAGACACAGTTGTCCTTATCTCAGACACAGTCGTCTGTATCTCAGACACAGTTGTCCTTATCACAGACACAGTTGTCCGAATCTCAGACTCAGTTGTCTGTATCTCAGACTCAGTCGTCTGTATCTCAGACTCAGTTGTCCGTATCTCAGACTCAGTTGTCCGTATCTCAGACTCAGTTGTCCGTATCTCAGACACAGTTGTCCTTATCTCAGACTCAGTTGTCCGTTATCTCAGACTCAGTTGTCTGTATCTCAGACTCAGTTGTCATTATCTCAGACACAGTTGTCCGTGATCTCAGACATGGTTGTCCGTTATCTCAGACACAGTCGTCTGTATCTCAGACACAGTTGTCGTTATCTCAGACACAGTCGCCCGTATGTCTGTGACATAGTCTCAGATCTCGGACATAGTCGTCCGTATCTCAGACGCAGCTGTCAGACACAGTTGTTCCTCAGACACAGTCGCCTGTATCTCAGACACAGTTGTCCTTATCACAGACACAGTTGTCCTTATCTCAGATATAGTCGTCTTGTATCTCAGACACAGTTGTCGTTATCTCAGACACAGTTGTCCTCAGATCTCAGACATAGTTGTCTCAGATCTCAGACACATAGCTCGCCTGTATCTCAGACTCACAGTTGTCCAGATCTCAGACACAGTTCGTCCGTGATTCTCAGACACAGTTGTCCTTATCTCAGACACAGTAAGTCCCGATCTCAGACACAGTCATCCGCCTGACTTCAGACACAGTTGTCCTTATCTCAGACACAGTCGTCTGTATCTCAGACACAGCTGTCCTTATCACAGACACAGTTGTCCTTATCTCAGACACAGTCGTCTGTATCTCAGACACAGCTGTCCTTATCACAGACACAGTTGTCCTTATCTCAGACATAGTCGTCTGTATCTCAGACACAGTTGTCCGTATCTCAGACACAGTCGTCTGTATCTCAGACACAGCTGTCCTTATCACAGACACAGTTGTCCTTATCTGTATCGTCTGTATATCCTCAGACACAGTTGTCTGTATCAGTATCTCTCAGTCGATGTATCTCAGACACAGTTGTCCTTATCTCAGACACAGTTGTCCGTATCTCAGACACAGTTGTCCGTATCACAGACACAGTTGTCCTTATCTCAGACACAGTCGTCTGTATCTCAGACACAGTTGTCCTTATCTCAGACACAGTTGTCCTTATCTCAGACACAGTCGTCTGTATCTCAGACACAGTTGTCCTTATCTCAGACACAGTTGTCCTTATCACAGACACAGTTGTCCTTATCACAGACATAGTCGTCTGTATCTCAGACACAGTTGTCCGTATCACAGACACAGTTGTCCGTATCTCAGACACAGTTGTCCGTATCTCAGACACAGTTGTCCTTATCTCAGACACAGTTGTCCGTATCACAGACACAGTTGTCCTTATCTCAGACACAGTCGTCTGTATCTCAGACACAGTTGTCCGTATCACAGACACAGTTGTCTGTATCTCAGACACAGTTGTCCGTATCTCAGACACAGTTGTCCTTAACTCAGACACAGTTGTCCGTATGTCAGACACAGTCGTTTGTATCTCAGACAAAGTTGTCCGTGTCTCAGACATAGTCGTCCGTATCTCAGACACAGTCGTCCTTATCACAGACACAGTCGCCTCATTATCTCAGACACACATCTCGAACATAGTCGTCTGTATCTCAGACACAGTTGTCCTGTATCTCGAACACAGTTGTCCTTATCACAGACACAGTCGTCTGTATGTCAGACACAGTTGTCCTTATCACAGACACAGTCGTCTGTATGTCAGACACAGTCATCCGTATCTCAGACACAGTCGTCTGTATCTCAGTGTAAGTGCTGCTAGGATACCATACAGGTAGCACAGGTACTGTACGACCCTATGTTCCTGGAATGTAGGCAACTTTGATTGTAGGTGATCTTATGACAGCCCATTCTTATAATGCCTTGTTATCTACAGCGATGTCCTTCGTGGTGAGATAGTAGTTTAGATATAAATCTGGGATAAGTCTTGTGATTTTACTGTCCTTTGTAGGCAGTTATATATGTATGACAGAAATGCATTTCTTAGCGTAACCTTTCAATAGTCACAATTTGGCTGAAATAATACCAATGTGACTGAAAATGTTTACCCACACTCACATTACTAACACATGACTTACGTAGTCCTTAATCAGTGGACGGACCAACTTTCTGCTGATGTCATTACCAGGGATTGCCATCCGTCTTGTGGTATTTTTCTTTAGCATTTTCCATATTGATAACTTTCACTATAACGACTTGACTTTCATGTTGATGATGTGACAGGGTGTTTAAGGTTTATCTTTCCCTAAATACTTAAGGTAATGGGGAGATTCCTTTAAGACACATGGGCTAGTGTTTGGGGATAAAGCTATAAATACTTGTCGTCTGGGGTTAGCTAGTCTGTCTCACAGTCCCTGAACCACATTATTTTCCCCACTGCCAAGCTCTCTCTGCAGTGCTAAAGCCCTAAATAAAGCAAGTCTAGATTTCCTCAGGTTCAGGTTGTGAATCTCTGGCCTCCCTAGGGCTCCTTTTGAATTTAAATGGGCTTGTTTGTTACTATCAAAATTATATATATTCAGATACTAAGCATTAGTCTAGGGGTTAGCTTAAGGTACTCAGCATTGGTCCAGAGTGGAAGATCTACTGATAAGAGAGAGGGAGTGAACTGGATACT